GACGAAGGTCCCTACGAGCGCTTCGTCCATCCCTGACTGGGCGGAAGAGGCTGCGGCGGAGGCTGAGACGTCGCAGGGCGCGAATCCGTGGGGCAACGACGACCTGATGGACGTCAACGCCGACGAGGATGACTGGAGTGAGTTCCGTGGCATCGAATTTGTATATTTTGGTGAATCGGTGTTGACTCTCCTACGCAGGCGCGTTTGAGACTGCACCCGTTCCCGCAACACAGGCGAGCGGCTTGGGCTTTGGGAGCATCCCAGCCATACCATCCGTATCGACAGACCCATGGAGCCCGCCATCGGTCACAAAATCACGCCTGTCGAACGAATGGGGCAGTCTACAGTCCACACTTGCACCGCAACCGTCGCGCACCACTTCGAGCTCGCGTGTCCCGTCTTCGTCTCCGCTTGCAAGCCCGAGACCATCATCCATCGCGCGGTCGCCCACGCCGTCAGATAGTGGGAGGGCAGACACGAGCCCGCCTGCGCCCGCTTCTGCCGCGCCCAGTATGGCTGGGATGTCGAGAGCGGAGAAGGCCGCAGAGTTGGCACGGAGGAAAGAGGAAAGAAGACAGGTAAGCACCACCCTTTTGACCGAATGAGAAGCCCTCCTCGCTCAATCTACCGACGACAGCGTATCGCTGCTCTGAAGGAGCAGAAGAAACATGCGGCGGAAGCGAAGAGTTGATCCATCCGTCAGAAGAGTGGATATATGTGATACCCTGGATATCTGTACGTGTATGGGGACTTTGTATGTTCTCAATATGTGGCGCCAGCGCAGCGTAATGCACCCTCAGAGACGCTCGAGTTCTAATCGCAGAGATCAGCAGAATCTCTACAAAGAGTGAGAGTACGAACAACCTATAATTCCTCTATAGCATCATAGTCCACAACGACTACCTCCGGAATCAGTCTTGGTATGAAAAGGACCATGTCAGGATCACGAGGCCATCCATAACCCCAGAGACTCCTGGTAGGAGCGAAGCTGCAGGTTCGCCGCCACATCACTTATTGGAAGAAGAGTTGGGGCCAGTACGTGTGCAGGCCAGTGAATCAAACTGTCTGAGCAACATCCATCAAGATCATGCCTGTTGGAAGCCGTGAAAATCATGCATCTGCCTTCGACGGTCGATGATTTGCGGCGAGATCGGCTGCATATATTCGTTAGGTCCGACACGCACATTGACCACATACCAGTCCGTCCTCTGGTATGTTGTACCGCCACTCACTATGGCATAATTGTATGCTGGAGGAGCACCATGATCTTGATGGCTCTCAGTGAACCTTCTCACAGCGTTGATGAGAGCAAACAGTGCCGGACGTCGAGCTCGAGCAGATCCGAGGGCGTGAACGTATTTCAAGACACCGTCGACCCTCGAAGCCTCTCCCCAACGAATACATCGTTTACGTTGGTTGAAGAGACTTCTTCCACGAACCGAGGAGTTTCATGCACTCGCGCGGGGTCAGGTGTGCGTGATTGACCGGCCGGGACATGGATGGCTGGAGGATGGACGTCCCTCACCGTTGTGGCGGAACGGTTCCGGTATGTCATATGTCGTGTTTCCACGCTAGGTGCTCCGGGGACAAGTGCCGGCGGGTCTAGATTATACAAATGTTCCCGTCTGGGGTCTGCTGCCTGTGGCGACGCCCCCGTGAGTGAGCCGTCTCCGCGTAGGAAGTCGAACGGATGCGGGAGCGTGGCGCGCAGCACCGCCGCCTCCCCCGCATTCCCCGCCGTCGTTGTCGAGCAGTTGAGGACGAGGAAGGGCTCGAGGGCGCATGCTGGATATGTCGAGGAGAGAGTGCAGAGATGCATCCTGATATGGGTAGGCGGTCTATATAAGCAGAACATGTGAGCAAGGCCCCTGGCGGGATGCCCCCTGGGTAAAGAAGGTCGGATAACAGTCGGCGTGCATCCCTCGCGGATACTGCGACCACCTCACTCTCTTCTCTCACCACCATCACCGTCGCCTGTGTCGACCCGCTCTGGGTGTGTTTTTCGCGGGTGCGCGGGGAGGCCAATATTCGTTGAATTCCGTTCGGTGTCCCGCCCAACGGACAGGACCGGGACTTGGACACTGCATGCCGCGTGATTGCACGACAAGCCTGCCCGTTTTGGAAAGGAGGTTATTGGATGCTCTGCCTGCTCGCTGCTATAAAGTCTCTCGCCCCAGGCTCCACTCGCTCGATCGCCCCTCTACCCCGCATTCCCCATACCCTCTCGCGTCTTGCTCAACAGCGTCCTTGCCTTCGAGCTACCATCGTGAGTGTCTTCCTCGTCCTCGTCGCGTCCCACAGCGTGCAGGCCATCGGGCTCCGCGCGCGCGTGCTATGACGTTCGGTGTGCACCCCGGCTCGGACCATGGCCCATCCCCCTGACCCCCGCGTCCATCGGCCAGCAACGATTGACTGACGCGCGCACCTCTCAGCATTCTACCACGATGGTCTACAACCACACCACCCCTTATGTTACCCCTCACATCCTCCACAAGCACTACGCGCAGGCGTACGATGCTGAGGTCTCCAACCGTGAGTCGTACATTCCCTCCGCGCACGCCGAATAGGCACTCACCACCGCCGCGATCACACAGTCATCGGCAAGGAGCTGGAGTACTTTTCGCAAGCCGGCTTCGACATGGACCGCATCCAGATCAAGCGCAATGCTCCCCCGGCCGTCCTGTATGAGGATGCCATCCGGAACGAGGGTGCTATCATCTCCTCATCTGGCGCGCTCATCAACTTCTCTGGCAAGAAGACCGGTCGCAGCCCCAAAGACAAGCGCATCGTCTACGAGGAGACATCCAAGGATGAGATCTGGTGGGGCTCCGTAAATATCAAGATGGACGAGCGTGAGTTCATCCTCTGTCTAGACCACTCTCACGTCCTAATTTTGCGTGCATAGATACATTCGAAATTAATCGCGAGCGTGCCATCGACTACCTCAACACCAGAGAAAATGTCTACGTGTTTGACGGCTACGCAGGGGTAAGTACAAGCACTCTTGATTGATTGGAATCGGTCCTGACTCCCTGTGATTCGCCCAGTGGGACCCGAAGTACCGTATTAAAGTGCGAGTAATCTGCGCGCGGGCGTATCACGCTCTCTTCATGGTATGTGTAGCCTCTCCGATTTCTTCCGTGCATGGAAGAACTTCTTCCATAACGGGTTCATCCATCCCATATCGGCTCCCCGTCGCAAGAATATCGCGCTGACGAGGGGCCCACCCAGAACAACATGCTTATTCGGCCGACCGAGGAAGAGCTCGCCAACTTTGGCGATCCCGACTTCATCATCTACAACGCGGGCCAGTTCCCGGCGAACCGGTTCACCAAGGGCATGTCTTCGACAACCTCCGTCGAGATCAACTTCAAACGGATGGAGATGGTTATCCTCGGCACTGAATACGCCGGCGAGATGAAGAAGGGCGTCTTCTCCGTGATGGTAAGCCCCCATTTCCGCCCTCTATCGGGCCGCGATGATAGCTGATCTCCCGTCGTCCGCTTTCAGCACTATCTCCAGCCCGTCAAGTTTGGTCAGCTATCGCTGCACTCGTCCGCGAACGTGGGCGAGTCGGGCGACGTAACCCTCTTCTTCGGTCTGTCCGGTACGGGCAAGACGACCCTGTCGGCGGACCCGCGCCGGAAGCTCATCGGTGACGACGAGCACGTATGGTCGGACGACGGTGTGTTCAACATCGAGGGTGGCTGCTACGCCAAGTGCATCAACCTCTCCGCGGAGAAGGAGCCTGAGATCTTCAACGCGATCCGCTTCGGGAGCGTGCTCGAGAACGTCGTGTACAACCCCGTCACTCGCGTACCCGACTACGACGACGCGAGCATCACCGAGAACACCCGCTGCGCGTACCCTATCGAGTACATCCCGAACGCGCAGATCCCGTGCCATGTCAAGTCGCAGCCGAAGAACATCATCATGCTCACCTGCGACGCATTCGGTGTCCTGCCACCCGTTGCGAAGCTCACGCCCGAGCAGGCCAGCTACCACTTCCTCGCTGGTTACACCTCCAAGACCCCCGGAACGGAGGACGGTGTGCTTGAGCCCATTCCGACCTTCTCGACGTGCTACAGCGCGCCGTTCATTGTCCTTCACGTACGTCCGCTGTCATCTCATGACCACTCTTCATGCTTACGTCCTATCTTAGCCCGGCCGCTACGCCGAGATGCTCGCGGAGCGCATGTCGAAGAACAACGTCGACTGCTGGCTGATCAACACCGGCTGGACAGGCGGGAAGTTCGGGACGGGCAAGCGCTGCCCGCTCAAGTACACGCGGCGCATCGTCGACGCCGTGCACTCGGGCGAGCTCGCCAAGGCCGAGTACGAGACCTTTGGGGTGTTCAACCTCCAGATCCCGACCTCGCTCGAGGGCGTCCCGCGCGAGCTGCTCAACCCGCGCCTCGCGTGGGCGAACACAGAGGCGTTCGAGCGCGAGGTGCGCAAGCTCGCGGGCATGTTCCAGAAGGCGTTCGCGCTGTACGAGAGCGACGTCGAGGAGAAGGTGCGCCTCGCCGGCCCCCAGCTGTAAGAAGCTAGGGCCAGACTATGTGCGCAAAGGGGGCAAAGGTCGGGGGTAGATGGATGAAGACCGTTCGTCGGTCGGACTTTTTCTTTCCAGTCTATCGTATACATAGGATGAGCGGCTGCGCTGTGTAACAATAGATGTATCAATCTCACAAAAATCCTGCCTGTTTGATTGGCTTGTCTACGCCGCTCCCGTCTCTAAAATCAGCGTAAGGCGGAGAAGTTTGTGGATATTTGCCCATATGGACGCGCGTCGGCGAAACGAGGACTTGGCTGGACTTGGCCTGCACACTCGCGGCACCGAAAATATGCGAAATTGGCGCAAAGGTTCCGATCATATCGCGATGCTCTCGCTACTACAATACGGCGAAAAGTTGCACCAAAAACTACAGGTGGTCCAGATGGCTCTTGTGATCCCTGCTGCTTGTCATGGTCGAGAATAAAATAAGAGGGAAAAGGAATGACCACCGCAGGGGTCGAACCTGCAATCTCCTGATGGCTTACGTCAGCAGCAGGCTGAACCCGCATACTTTCGTAGTCAGACGCGATGCCATTTCGCCAGGCGGCCGTTGGGAGCTAAGCTGTGCTGTAATATATACCAGGCTTCACTGTCACCTGAACATCTGAATATTCCGAAGACATCACAGCCTGCAGGTCCAACCCCCTTGCCTTCAGCCACATCGCACCCTCAAGTCCCGCTGAAGCTGGCTACTAGTTCTGCTGCCATCTGCGTCGCTGAGGATGGTTTTGATTCATGGTCTGGGTCTTATACTAGTGTGTCTGGTATTGTGCGTTCTTGGAAGCCCTGTGCAACCCTCTGAACCGCCCCGCCGTCCCCTCGTCGTATGGCATGGTTTGGGAGACTCGTATGCATCCCCTGGGATGCTTGAGTTCATGAACCTCATCAAGGACATACACCCTGGTATCTTCATCCACTCTGTTTACTTGAACGAGAATATAGAGGAGGATGAAAGGGCAGGATTCGTACGTCTAACGCCGTCCTTTTGAATAGTGTTCCTCTGAATCCCTCGCACAGTTTGGCAATGTGAACGACCAAGTTCTCTTCGCCGCAGAACAGCTGGCAAATGTGACTGAGCTCCAAGGCGGATTTGATGCCATTGGATTCTCGCAAGGTCAGCTTGAAGCACTCCTACACCTCCTCAGCGCCTTTCGGGGTTGCAACGAGCTTACGTCTGTGTGCGGTAACAGGAGGCCAATTCTTGCGTGCATACGTCGAGCGGTTCAACTCTCCTCCTGTGCACAACCTCATCACCTTCGGCTCGCAGCACATGGGCGTGTCAGATCTTCCCGCCTGCAGCGCGTGGGACGTGCTCTGCCAGCTCGCCCGGCGCGCCGCGCGTGGAGGCGTCTACACAGAGTGGGCACAGACGCACCTCGTCCAGGCGCAGTACTTCCGCGACCCAGATAGGCTCGACGCGTACATCGCGCACAACAAGTTTCTCGCATCCATTAACGGCGAGGTGGAGGACCTCCGCGATCCTGCGTATGTCACGAACCTCGCGTCTCTCAACTCGCTCGTCCTCGTCCTCTTCTCGGCAGACAAGACCGTTGTGCCAAAGGAATCCTCCTGGTTCGGCTCGTATGCGCCTTCACCGGAGGGCGCCCACGGAGACGCGTCGGAAAAGACAGTTGTGCCTATGCGCCTGCAGCCACTGTACAAGAACGATTGGATTGGATTGCGCAAGCTAGACCAGAGTGGTCGTGTCATCCTGGAGACGTGCGAAGGCGAGCACATGCAGCTCACAGACGAGTGCTGGAGGCCGCTTGTGAAGCGCTTCGTCGGAGACGTCCTGGACGATGACGAGAGTGCCGTGTACCGCGTCCCCGGTTATGAGCAAATGGTGCTCGGGGTGTAGCGAGCTAGACTTTGCCTGCGTTGCTACTTTCTTGGAAGGGGCCTACTCTGTACTATACCTGCTATTCTATTTGAAGCACGCCCTTGGGGAGGCACCCCCTTACTCATCCCTTACGCCGCTCAGGCTTGCCTACGATGAGGTGTCAAGCTACAAGAAATCCATGTTCAAGCGTGATAGGTGAGAACCTGGCTCTACAGGCAAAGGAAAGCTACTACTCTCGTTACAATGCTGAGACTACCTGATCTACATTGCTTAGGTATCTCAACGCGTTAGAATGACGGGCTGAACGGGAGCTGGGACTCTTCTCACGACTTGGCTGAAATAACAAGTTAGGTGTTTAGTCTCCCGTTACTTCCATTCCGCATGTCGCCGTATGGTCGTTCCTCAGGTCAACTCGAATCTCCGCTCATTGGCTACTCCTGCGTTTCAACCACGGGCATGGCTCCACCTTCTCCCTTCCGACCTAGTTGTTTGCGCGAAGGCCCGCCTATTCATCAACATCTTCGAGACCAAGGTGTTCAAGCCGTCAGAGGCTTTCTTCCTCCTCTATACCGAGGGCTCCGACTCGGGCAGGGACCTCCTCGAGGGCCTCGACGCGCTGCAAGCGGCCCTCCCCCCGAGCGGACTCGCGGTGGGTGGGCGGCAATGGACCAACGCGGATAGCGCTGTTGCGCCCTTCCTGATCCGCATGGACATGATGTTGAAGCACGGCATCGGTCGGTACCCGCAGTCGGAGGGCCTGGAGGTCCGCAAGGCGTGGCAAGGGCAACGACTTGCCCGGTTGACCAAGTATATCGCAGACATCAAAGAGTCTCCTGTTTATAGGGAGGTCTGGAACGAGGTGAACCTGCACTTGGCCAGGATCTGGGGTATTAGCACTCACAGCGCTGCAGGAGACTAGCTTAGAGCTGCTCAGACGACACCCTCTGCTCACGCAACGCAACTCGATCAACCCCCCTTGCATTTGGTGGAGACCCATGCGTATCGAGGATTAGAAGCGGCGAAAGTGGTGGGATCGAGAGAACATGTACAAGCAGACCTCCTTATTCGTTGATTGCCAGTCCGCCGCGTATGCTAAATCACCCAAATCCATGTGTGTACATGTGATATACCTATCGTACAACGACGACAACTCCTTGACACGTCGCATACCTACACTTCATATTCCCGGCTGCTCGTTAGACTACCCCTGATGTTCCTCCAACCACGCCCTGAGCTCAGCGGTATCACGCTATATGAACGGATTAGCGATGCTATGGCGCACACGCTGCTGCAAGGTCGGAGAACCCCGTGGCTTACACCAATCCATTTAGCGTGCATCTTGATCTCGTCCAAAGATTTATGCAAGGGCAGTTCGTATTTCGCCGTGTTCTTGCCCTACAGAAGGGGTCCCGTCAAAATTTATATGGGGACGTCCAAGTGCACGTCGTATACCTTGAAGAATTCGGTCAACTTCTCGTGGTCCGCATAGGAAGTCAAGGATGCGAAGGCCGTCTTGACATATACGATTAGCTCAAGGCCATACACTTGATATTGCGATGAGCTGTTGGCACTCACCTCGATCAAGTAGTTGAAGATGAACATTCCTGCAAAGCGGTGCTCGAGCTATCCTCCCCCATACATAGTCAGCCTCGACCTTGAGTCTCCTAGCTAGCACCAGGCGCATACACGTCGTTACGCACCTCGTCGAAATGCTGCATAACTTGCTCCGCAAGGAACCGCCGCATCTTCACATTTGACCGCAGGCCGCGCAGGTAATAGAGCACGTCCTGCGCGCGCGCGTCCTGCGTCGCAAAGCTGAATGTGTTCTTAGCGAGGCTTAGGTCTCGCGTCTCGCCCAACGCGGACATTGCACTGATCCCTTCCGCCGGGTTGCTCGGCTTTTCGGCGATGCCCTTCACAAAGGCCCACGCTTCTTTGCCACCTTTCTGCACGCCCTGGAGACGATAACGAAGGGAAGGTGATCAGGGAGGGAGAGTCAAGCGGGGTTGCATAAGCGATTACATACGATCCGGTATGTGATCCCGCACAGTTCGCTGATGATCCGCGACCGATCCTTCGTCTTTCGGAAGTGTTCAAAACGGCCATACAATTGGTCGACAATCCTGTGGCGGAGCCGTGTTGAGCAGTGATGCCTCATGCACAAGGTAGCCGCGTCGCATACCAAGGGACCTCAGCTTCGGCAGCCTGCTCGATAGCTCTGACTCTCAGCTGGCGATCATCCGGACTGTCTTTGCTGGAGGGATCGAACCCCATCTTCTTGACGATAGTGGCAAAGAGTTTCTGTCGATGCCAGTCAGCGGACCCAGGGCGAACACAGGACTGCCTGCAGCAACGTACGCCTCTATAGGCGTTGAGCAACTTCGTGATCTCGACGTCCTCCCACCAGGTCCAAGTGAGGAACGTCAGGCTTGCAGCGATCGAGTCCACAACGAGGTCTGTTACGAGAATAAACATGACGCCGGAATACCCCGATCAGTATTGACGGCCAGATTGAAAGAAAGGGACGTGCGACGCACACTCCTCCGAGGCGCGTAGCCCGTCAAGGAGTGCGAGCGCGCCGCGGACGGGGGCATAGCCCGCACTTGTCAGCGCGAAGGCGTCGCGGATGAGGCCAATTCTGTCTTGCAACGAGAATCCGAGGTTCGGCGAGGTTACCTGCTTCCCCAACTTCTCCAGCCTCTGGTCCTCGTACTTCACGGCATCTGTTGCACGCGAACACTAAGCTCGCAAGGCGCTACTGGGATCTGTGTGCACGAGCTTACAGAAGCCGCTCGTCCCAGCGTTCAGTTTGAAAGGCTTGTTGACGTCGAGGGCGATGAATCTCGTCCGCTCCTCGAGCAGACTGATGGAGTCGATTTTCGTGGATCCATTCGCGTCGACCGTCAGTATGTGGAGCGGAACGGTCCTAATGAGGTGTTTACGTTAGCCGGGCTGGCTGCATCGGCGCGATACGTAGCAGTATGGGAACGAACCAGATCGTCTCGTTGTCCTTTGGATCTGTCACAGGACCCGTTTCGAGGAACCGATCCTGGCGAATGGAGATGCCGTTCGCCTTCTCGGCGACGGTGATCACAGGATACCCCATCTACGAAGATGTTTAGAAAGCATCGATATATCGCAACAAGATGCGTCACTCGCCTTTTTGACCCAATTATCCATCATCTTCGGGATGTCCAGATCTGTACCACGCGGTTGTCAGCGCCCGGAAGTATACATCCGTATAGACGGTGCGGAAGTCGTCACGTACGCGTCGCAGCCTGGATTCCGTCCCATAGGTCCTTTGTCACGGTATTCTTGAACTTGTGTTTGTTGAGATAGATTGAAACGCCCTTGAGGAACTTCTCTTCCCCTACATAGTCCGCTAACATCCGCAGGACTAGGCATGTGGTTAAGTCAAACCATGAGTCAAAGACGAATCACGCCTTTAACTCGCCTGAAGCGGCCTTGCAGTAAGACAGGTCATCGAAGATCTGAACAATCTTGTCTGGATCCGGACACTCGACTTCGATAGGGTGCGATGAACGTTTCGCATCGAGGTATCGCGCGGGGTAGAAGTTCGAGCTCAGGAAGCGTGCGTCGAGCTGCCAGCTGCGGAAGACTCTACAGGAGTTTCAGCTCCAGTAGCGACGTCGTAACGACCGGGAGAGGTACCTGTCTGGACAGAATACTCGTGAGAGGTAGAGAAAAC